GAGGCTCCGTCTCAAAAAAAAAAAAAAAAAAAAAGACTCTGTCTCAAGAAAAAAAGAAAAGAAAATATGTCTTGGCATTCAGCCCTAGTTCTAATCCTAAATTATCTTGCCACCCAGCTCAACAGAATTGACGTTCCTCCCCAGTTCAGCCTGCGTCTGTTATGACCTCCTCCCAGGAATGCCACCTTTGGGGAGTAGGCCAACAGAACGTGTTCCAGCAAACCCAAAGGAAAACACAAAGTTAGGATTTCCCCCCAGTATAGAAATATTTTAGTGGAGTCAAAATTTCACATTAGCTAGGTTTCTGCCAGTGATATTTTCTCTTTAGGTTAAGTGAAAACTTAACCTGAAAACAGAAAAGTTAGTCTTTCTTAGACAAGTTCAAAACATTCACCTCATTTGAAAGAATGGGTTATGGAACTTCAGCAGTGGCTAAGTTATGGTTTGGAATTTAATCATCAATGACAGGCAGTAATAGAAATTTCTGCCTAATATGACCAATGTCATAAATGCCCTCCCTCTCAGAAGGGGATGAGGTTGTTTCACTTTAGCGCAGGTGTATCCAGCCCTCTGCCCCAATACACCTGCTCTAGGTACTTTGACAAAAGCAGGCACACAACAGAAGGGCAGCTCTTGAGGGGGTAGAGCAGGCGTCCTCAAACTACAGCCCCACATGCGGCCCACCAAAGACATTTATCCGGCCCGCCGGGTGTTTTGCCATCACTGCCTGTCCTGCTTAGCAGCTGACTTGTCCCAGGGCCTGCAGTCCGGCCCTCCAGTGGTCTGAGGGACAGTGAACTGGCCCCTTCTTTAAAAAGTTTGAGGACCCCTGGGGTAGAGTTTTCAAGTGGCTTCTGAAGTAGTGGGTGTCATCACCCAGTATTAAAATTTGCCTTAAGCCAAAGGAAAATTAAGATTTGCTCCAAACAGTGCTGTGGATGCGTGAAAGATTTTCTGCTGTGCCTGTGGAGCTCAGGAGCTGTAGAAAGGCAGAGGCCGTCATGTCCATTGCCGCATGCGCCACTTGGTTTCCTGGTCTTGTTGGTTGTCTCTGTATTCAGTGTCTTTATAGAGAATTTTTTCAAAAGTTAGACATTTAGAGACTAACAGGTATTTGATGAAGACTCAATTCTAGAAGCAGCTACAAAGTGAAATGATCAGATCTCACACACTGGCACTTGGAAGATGAGGCATGATCACAGAGTTCACTCTCAGAAATGTATTTTTTCTGTGGATGATTTCTGTAGGAAGAAACGCAGGGATGTGTTTAGAGAGAGGATCTGTCTGCTTTTCAACATTGGAAATCTAGAGGAGGCATCTACCCTATGCTTGTTCATGGGGTCTGAGTAGGGAAGGGTGGGGTAGAGTTTGGAGTTGATCTGCAAACTGCCTTTGAACTAAGTGCAGCATTTCATATGAGACTTAACTGAGAAGTTTAAATAGGGCTTATGGTATTTTACCAGTAGGAAAAAAAATGATATTAGAACAACTATAAAAACAGTTTGTGGGTAACTGTTAAATTAAGCTTCTAGTTTTAAAGATTAAAATCTTTAAAATTGATTTTGAAAAGGCTTTTTTTGAAAATTAGCAAATGGTTGGGTGGTGCCTGTGGCTCAGGGGAGTAGGGCACCAGCCCCATATGCCAGAAGTGGCGAGTTCAAACCCAGCCCCAGCCAAAAACCTCAAAAAAAGAAAATTAGCAAATGGTAGTTGGCTGGCTCTGATGTTAAAAATACCATTTTATTTTACTGAAATATCAGCTAAGAATAACCTTGTGTTCTTTTAATTTAAAACAAAGCTCTAAGCTGTACCTAGCGGCTCACACCTATAATACTAGCAGTTTGGGAGGCTGAGGCAGGAGGATCACTTGAGCCCAGGAGTTTGAGTCCAGTCACAACAATAGAGAGATCCCATCTCTACAGAAAATTTAAAAATTAGCCAGGTGTGGTGACATATACCTGTAGTCCAGCTAGTCCGGAGGCTGAGGCAGGAAGACCACTGGACCCCAGGAGTTTGAGTTTGCATCGAGGTATAATGACACTGTAGCCCAGGCAAAAGAGCAAGACCCTATCTCAAAAAAGGAAAACATTTAACAAGTCTTTCTGTGCTTCAGTTCTTCTGCCTATTTCCACCATTAATTCTCCCAGCTGTATTTGACATTTGTGACGCTCAGTAGCACTGGTTCCTATTATGTTTAACATCTCTTGTGATATGAAGACCAAAGGTTACAAATTACTGGGCATTTGCTTCTTGCTGTCTTCGTTAATTGACAGGATGACTTAATAAAATCTTTCCTCTTTCAGTTTCTGTCAACACTCCGTTATCCTGTTGTTCATCTTAACTTGCATGGCCTCACCATTTTTGTGTTTATAGTCAGAGTCAGGCTTGTCAAAAAAAACCCCAAAAACCAGCACTACTAAGTGCTCCTTAAACATGGACGGGGGCCAGAGGACCTACTATTTCTCCTCCTAGGATCCCTGTTACTGTTTTGATAAATTGACAGTGTTGGGTGGTTGACACAGGGTTCTTCAGGATTACTGGCAGTGACATGCCTGGACTCAGGTAACTTCAGTTGCTTCTGGATGACTCCCTCTTGTCTTTCTGACCTCAGGACCTTCTACCGCTTTGAGGCTGTGTGGGACAGCTCTCTACATAACTCCCTTCTTCTGAACCGAGTGACACCTTACGGAGAAAAGATCTACATGACCTTGTCGGCCTACCTGGAGGTAAGGAGACTCAGAACTCCAGTTGCTGCAAGCAGCCAGCCCTGAGCAGTGGGCAGGTGATAGCAGGAGATGGTCAGCGAAGATTGGACTTGTTTTGTGTTTTTCCCAACACATCTTTATCATATTTATTTTATACTTTGCTGACTCTTCTGATTACATTAGGTTCTCTTCCTGGGCTCTATTCATTCAGAAAGTCACTTGGTTTTTATTAGCAGATTTCCTAGCTTAACCATCATTGTTTGAGTTGTATTTGTCGGGTAGCAGATTCTCCCTCAATTGCGTAGGCTAGAGTACAGTGGCATCATCATAGCTCACTGGAGCCTTAAACTCCTGGACTCAAGTGATCCTCTTGCCTCAGCCTCACAAGTAGTAGCAAGAACTATGGCCCCACATCACCATGCCTGTCTAATTTTTTCTATTTTGGCAGAGACAGGGTCTTACTCTTGCCCAACTAGTCTTGAACTCCTGGCATCAATCCTCCTGCCTTGGCCTAAAAGAATGTGTGATTTCTTTCTTCTTTCTCTTTCTTTTCTTTTTTTGGAGACAGAGTCTCACTTTGTTGCGTTTGGGAGAGTGCTGTGGTGTTACAGCTCACAGCAACCTAAAACTCTTGGGCTCAAGCAATTCTCTTGTCTCAGCTTCCTGAGTAGCTAGGACTATAGGCACTTGCCACAATGCCCAGCTATTTTTTAGAGAGGGAATCTTGCACTTGCTTGGGCTGTCCACCCACCTTGGCCTTCCAGAGTGTTAGGATTATAGGTGGGAGCCACCACACTCAGACACCGCCACTCCCTGTTTTTTGTTTTTTTGTTTTGAGACAAAGTCTTATGTCACTCTTGGTAGAGTACCGTGGCGTCACAGCTCATGGCAACTTCAAACTCTTGGGCTTAAGAGATTCTCTTGCCTCAGCCTCCCAAGTAGCTGGGACTGCAGGCACCTGCCACAACACCCAGCTATTTTTTTGGTTGTAGTTGTCATTGTTCTTCAGCTGGCTCCAGGCCGGGTTCAAACCCGCCGTAACCACTGTGCCTCAGGCACCGAGCCCTGTTTTGTTTTGTTTTTTGAGACAGAGTCTCACTTTGTCTTCCTGGGTAAAATGTTGTGACATCATCACAGCTCACAGCAACCTCAAATTCTTGGGCACAAGAGATCCTCTTGCCTCAGCCTCCCAAGTAGCAGGGACTACAGGTGCCTGCCCCACTGCCTGGCTATTTTTGTGTATTTTTAGTGGAGATAGGGACTTGCTGTTGCTCAGACTGGTCTCCAATTCCTGAGCTGGGGCAATCCACCCACCTTGGCTCCCAGAGGGCTAGGGTTACAGCATAGGCCACTGCACCTGACCAGAATGAGTAATTTTTAAGAAAACATCACTTCTTGTTTTTGTGGTTATGGATGCAGCCTGGCCGTGGTTGGCAGTGCAGACCGTAGAACCAGCCTTTCTACGTTCAAATCCCTGTGCTGCTACTTGCTTCCCCTAGGTCCTTGGACAAGTTCTCTGTGCCTCAGTTTCCTCATCTGTTAGTAGTAAGAATAGCATTTACCTCAGAGAGAAATCAGTGCACCCATCTGTAAAGAATACCACCTACTGTCGCATATGTTATTCAGTGAGTCACTGCTGAAATAATCGGGGGAGCTGACTCTGCCAGTCCCCCCATCTAGGTTAGCTTTCCTAACATGCACAGACTCCAGTCATGGGTACTCTGCCTGTAATTAATCAGCGCCCACCCCTGTCTGCTTTCAGCTGGATCATTGCATCCAGCCCGCTGTCATCACCAAGGACGTCTGCATGGTCTTCTATTCCCGAGATGCGAAGATCTCACCTCCACGCTCCCTGCGCAGCCTCTTTGGCAGTGGCTACTCAAAGTCACCTGACTCGTAAGTGAGACAAATCAGCTTCCAGATTGTTTGCCCAGGACAATGGAATCGAATCCTTACGTATCTTACCACTTCACAGACTACAATGTGTAAACCATTTTGGGAACTGTTACTTGGAATGCAGGGGCTCACATGCTGGCATTTAATAAAATGTGCATGGATAGACGAGTTAGTGAAGGAAGGAAGGAAGGAATATTACATCGTGAATACTTTCAAAACAATTTTGCAAGGACTGAATGTTCTTTTATTTTATTTTATTTTATTTTATTTTTGCGGTTTTTTGGGCCAGGGCTTTGTTTGAACCCGCCACTTCTGGCGTATGGGGCCTGTGCCCTACTCCTTTGAGCCACAGGCACTGCCCCAAATGTTCTTTTCTTTTGGCCAGGGCTGGGTTTGAACCTGCCACCTCTGGCATTTGGGGCTGGTGCCCTACCCTTTTGAGCCACAAGTGCCACCTCAAATGTTCTTTTTTTTTTTTTTTTTAATTAGCAGCTCTTTTT